ACCCATCCATCTTGACTCACGGCGGGGATGGCTGTTGTTGGCTTAGCTTCCAAGAAACAGCATAGAACGTCTCCACTAGCAGAAGCTAGCCAAAAGAGTCAGTGGTGGAGTCGAGTTTCTGGTACCCAGTCTGAGGTGAGATGTCAAAATATCAAGAAATAAATATCGGCCCTTAAAATATAATAAAGTATTGGTTTCAGTTTTTTCTCCTTAGTGACCCAAGTTTTACATACCATGCACATATTACACATCAAACTGTTTGACTTCATCTCCTCTTTCTCGAAATTTCAAAGTATGACAGATCTGAGGTTTAGTTTTTGAGATGTTAGGAATTTGCCCTGTGTAGTGAGAATCTGCTGTCCCTAACAGAACAAAGCTATATGCTGCTAACCAGCAAACAAACTAAAACAAACACAGGAATCTTCATCCAAGGCTTGCTTTTCTTAAATGAAGACCTTTATATATGTTTTATCACCATAATTACAATATAAAGAGAGAATACATTACTGGCGTCACGTTTACCAATTAGCCTAGCTTATCAATTAGCCTAGCTTATCATGTGTACACTCACGCTGATTACATTTTTTCAACAAAGTAACTTTATCACATGCCCAAACATTCCCTAAACGAATACTTACAAAGACAAATGTTCTCCATGGCACGCACAAACATATAAACCAAAATCATGTTCTGTTTATTCTCTTGTTTTTGCCTAAACTTAACAAGTAAAAACATTGGGAGCGAATGAAATAAAAACTACATCAGTGAAAGGTCTGAGTTGAGAAGGTTCACTCTGTCACATTTTGCACAGAAGATATAGCAAAGATTGTAACAGCGATGTCTCACTTTCATCTGTTTTCAAAACGTACACATTTTTTACCTTTTTATCATGAATTCAATTATTAATCAAACTTTTACCCATCATGAAGGTAATTATCTGTGGCCCTAAAGGCGGCACAAAGAGTTTGTCAAGATTATCTCAAGGAGAATGTCATCCAGCTGTTGCTTGAGACAAATAAAATAGGGGCACCCCGCATGTATTGGTATTGGTTTAAATCGGTATCGGAAAATAAGAGTTAGACAATATTGGATATTGGTAAAAAAAGCCAATAATGAGCATCCCTACTTACAAGACATTTATTCCTACTAGAGGCCACTGCAAATGTGTGAGTGAAGGACCTCTTATCTCTGTCTGAAAACATAAAAACCTCCAGCTTCTTAGCAGTGACAGCTCTGCAGATTGTGAATTGCAACTATGTGTATTCTGTAATTGTTTTTTCTTGGGGGGGGGGGGGGGGGGGGGTCACTTCACACACACGCGCGCGTTCTGTACACAGCATTGAGATGAGCTGATGAATTCCTGGCTTCATAGAGGACTTGGTTAGTCACACAAGGCTGTTCTGCTCTGCTTGGCTTTGTTCTTCCTGGTTTGTTCTCCCCGTCTGACAGGAAGACAGCCAAGAATCATGGAATCAGCCAGCCAGAAAAGAGAAAACATGGCAATTCATTGCCTGCAAGTTTTACAGTCATGACACAAAATGCATCTGTTGCACCAGATGTTCATGTGGGATGATGGCACCACTCATTAAGAAATGTTAAAATGCACAAACACAAAGACACATGCCATGCAGCTGAGTAGACAAGACACTTCATCTCAACTTCGCTCACATCCAGCATCTCTAGACATTAAGAAGTCTTTCCACTGAGAATACGTCAACATCTGTTTGTCGCCTTTGAGATGATAAAACTTTAACTAACCTAACCCTGTTGGTGGTAAAGCTTTGGAAAAGACTTCACTTTGACAGAAACCTTCATATGTGAAGTGAACTGTTATTGATTACTGCTACCCTAGAATTCTGTCTGGCATCAGTTTGGACCACTTAGACTTGAGCTTTTCTTTGAGTCATGAGCAGATAGAGCTTCTTTCCACAGTTTGACAGACAATCGTTGATTCCGCCCCACATCTGTTCTGTCTATGGGCTGTGGCCAGATTATATTCATGTCCTAAAAACCACCAGAAACTGTACATAGATTAACAAACCAGTGGATTTAAAACTGGTTTTGCAGGTTTAAAATTGGTGTTGCAGATTTGCTTCAAATTTCACAACTTTTCATGGCTAAAACTAACTCATAAAACAAAATGGCGATGGCCAAAAGGACAGTTATATTAACTAAACGTCACCTGATTCTCACAAGCTAAAAAAAATGGTGGTAACTCTTTACAATAAGGTACGCAAAATTGTGCTTCGTTACTAGGGAACGACTTAGGGGGTAATGAGTAATGAAGCAGGGAACAAAGGGTAGTTAACAAGTAGTTACTGGTGAAAACGCTCATCAGTCTTTTTTCAGGGTCTAATAGGTAGTTAACCAGTACTTACTAGTAAACACCCAGCAGTCTTATTCAGGGACTAACAGGTAGTTATCTGTGAACGCAATAAGGAACGAATCCCAAACGAATGTAGTGCCTGTGGACTCTCTTTTGTAAAGTTCATGAAGGATGCAGAAAATTTGCAACATCACAGTGATTTAACATCACTGTTTCATCTTGATTTTACTCGTCTGTCACTTCGTTGTCCATCGTCAGCATCCGGCCATCTCAAGATGATGGAAAGTGGAGCCTCCTCCCAAGTACCTACTCAGGAACAAATCTGTACCTACTAGGTACTTAACCATTACCTACTGCCTTTGTCTACCTTAAAGCAAAGCCTCCTCCCAAGTACATACCGAGGAATGAATCTGTACTTACTCAATACTTAACTATTGTTGTTAAATGGCCATTTACCATAAATACATTGAGCTTAGTCATACATCATTTTCTTTCATCTTGTGTGTGGTAATATTCCAGAGATGAGTGACCAAAATCCTGCTAACAAAATGTTGAATGTTTAGGGTACATTTTAAAATAATCAGAAAAGTACACAAAAATTTACTTTTACATTTATAAACTTTGAAATCAACGTGTAAAAACACTCCAAAACTACCTATTCTTCCCTGCTTCATTGCTCAGTACCCTTTAAGTCGTTCCCTAGTAACAAAGCACAAATAGATAACTGCCTATTAGTCTCTGAATAAGACTGCTGGGTGTTTACCAGTAAGTGTTGGCTAACTACATATTAGACCATTAAACAAGACTTATGAGCATTTTCACCAGTAACTACTGGTTAACTACCTGTTTTTCCAGCATCATTACTCATTACTCCCTAAGTTGTTCCCTAGTAACGAAGCACAATTTTGCATACCTTATTGTAAAGTGTTACCAAGATGGTGTCATAAAATATGCCCAAGTTTTCCAGTGGTTCAGCTGCCAAAAATGATTTTTAAAAACTGTGTTTGTTTTCAATGGTGGTTTAGAATTTAAAAGTTAAAGAAAACATTCTGTTAGGTTAGATTAATGTACGGAATTCAGATTTTCATGAATAGCAAAAAACAGTACATTAAGAAGATATGTTGTATGTGTTATACAATTTCTGTTAAAATTTCCAAATGTTGTTTTGGAAACACACTGAACATTTTTCAAGCTAAGAAACCAAAAGATGGTGACGCAGCACAGGAAAAGAATGAATTAACAGACTTTAAGGTTGTGACAAAGTGTCAGCATGAAAAAGTCTAAAAGTCCTATATTAATCACTAACACTTTAAAAGTTGTGTGATTTTAAAGATATTATTGTGAATAGGATTGTTCGATAGTAGGAAAACCTGCAATACGCAATAACAGTGATTAATATAGTGATGACAATATGACTTACAATAAATAAAAACTTAACTTGGCAACAAAATGAATTCAATTTTAAAATGACAAAAATGGGATAAAAATGAGAAAAGCTAAATATGTGAGAAAAGGGAAAAAGAAAATGAACAAGAAAAGGCAATCAGTGGATCCTGGGAAAAGCAAGAAGAAATCAGCAAAAAGAGCAAAACTAAGCTAACTCATGTTTTTGCTAACCATCCCAATTAAGTGCTGTTTGCCTAGGGGCGGGCATCTAGCCTATGGGAACCCACCCGATTGGCCAAATAGGGGAAGAGCTCCATTTGATTTGTTAAACATCATGCTTCCATTTGATTGACAGAAGGCTGTGTAGCTGACCATTCATTGCGATTTTTTTCTGTTCTTTGCGATACGCGTATTGTACACGGTGATGCCGCGATGATGACATATTTGCGATATATTGTTCAGCCCTTGTTGCAAGTCATTCATACATTTATTATAGTAGTTATAATATTTTTTTTCACTGTTTAACATTTAAATTTTAATAAAGATAGAAACACAAAATTTTCCCTTTTAACTTGGAAACTGTTAAATTTCAAAGATAAAACTGAGCTTCCAATTTATTTTTACATTATTACCAATAGAAACAGTTTATTTGGACTCGTTGCTGTTAAGTAATATGTCACAACCTTGTATTAAAGTTTTATTTAAAAAAAACAGACCAGAATAACAAAAGCTGTGTTGGTTAAAATTAAAAGACAAATTTAAGCTTGTATCTAAAACATTCAGGCCTTTCTTTTCTGTCAGATATAAAAAGGAGAAGTTATTACAGGAAATGAATTGACATATTAAACTGACAAGTTTTCCCTTCACAGCAGCTGCTAATTAAATGTCAGCAAATAACAGTTCAAAGGTCAAACTAACGCAGACTTTAAAGTTTCAGTGAGTGATGTTTTAACTTGTGCACATCTGCAAACACCATTAATGAAGAATCTTCTGGGTTTTTCTATCATGTATCTATCAGCCAATGAGGGACTGTATGCAGTAGTTTCCGTTTGGGGTGTTTTGTGGTGAATCAAGCCATTTGTTTTCATTTTAGAAAAACAACAGTTTCTATAAACCTTACTTTGACATGCAAATCTGATGAGTCACCCAGAGTTTGAAGCCTGCTTTCCAAGTGTTGGAATCTGTAACAAATGCTGTTGTTCCACAGCACACACTTGCTCCTCCTCGCCTCCCTCCACTCTAATTTCTCTGACTGCGTTTCCTCTTTCTCTCCTTCTGATCTTTGCAGTCAGACACGGAGTTCTGGGACAAGATGCAAGCAGAGTGGGAAGAGCTGGCTCGACGAAACTGGCTAACTGAAAACGAGCAGGCACAGATTCCTTCGTCTGTATCTCCACATGAGAAGGTCACTATCATTTAAAGGTGGCAGGAGGCAGAAAACCCTCCAGATGTCACTGATGAGAGAGAAAGACCTTGTGTCTGTGTGCTCGAGAGTTACTCTAAAACATTTAGCTTCTTTTTACACAAAAGCAGCCTTTCTTTGATTTTATAGTTCAAGTTGCATAAAAACAACACGCTGGGTAAATTAGACTCCAGTGCATCAGTCTGAAGGTCCCAGCTGCAGAGTGCAGCGGACTGATATTGGGCTGAGTTGGACTTCCAAATTGGCGGGGCCAGTCAGTAGGCGAAGTATGATGCCACCATCAACAAGCACTCCCAGCTATGGGGCGGGTTCGGATATCTGATTTGTTGAGACGCCATGTCTCAGGCATCATTCAGTCGAAGGTCAAAACAACTCTTTCTGGAACTAGATAACAAATGTGGAAGAAAGGCTTTGAGACATTTGGACTCAACTAATAACCTTAAAAATTGTAATTTTTTTTAGTAAAATTATGAAAAGTATATAAATTATACAATGTAAAAAATTTCAAGGGATGCTTTGCATTTTTTTAACTCTTTTTTTTTTTTGAGTCAGTATGTGCTAAAATGACCCTTTACAGGGTTAATGAAAGGCCACCCAACCCCCATCACCCCTGTAGCCAGAATATTCCACTTACAACTTCAGACTGGCTCTGTCGGGGGCTTAGAAACGATTGAGCTGACATACCTGGCGTTGCAGTCTGGTTTCAGCATGTTTCCTGCATGTTTTAAATCATGAATACAGCTGATTTGTCTCATTCAGTGATGAATCATCTAGACACTAATGAAGGCTGGGGAGACGTTTCAGATGTTAGATTAAGGTGTTAAAAAGAAGAATGCTCAGCAAGGATATAAGTTTTGGTTTTGGTTCTACAAACAGACACTAGGAGGTGCTAAAAGCAAGCCAAAACCACCTAGTTCCCCTTTAATTATAGTAAATGTAACAGTCAACATAATTGTCTTGCTCTTGGTAGTAGGCCCATAGAGAGAATTTGAGCAAATTCTTATATTTCTATTCATTTTCATAATTTTACAAAATAAATATTCAAATGTTTACATTTATTTTTAGCTACTACTAAGTGTATTTTAATGTTTTCGGATTATTTCATTCCTTTCTTCCACATCAGTTAGCTATTAGTTGAGTCCAAATGTTGACAAAATAAAACGCCTGAGACCTGGCGTCACAGCAACTGGCCACGCCCATCGGACGTCTGAGCCTGCATCATAGTCCGTGATCTGCAGCCAGAGGAACTTGTGAACAGTAACACTCAACCATCAGCTGACCTTCTTTGAGGAGGAAACCACATAACTTCAGTCTTCTGGGCTTTCTGACTGATCCCTGGGCAGAGCCAGATCTCACAGAAAATCCAGTTTCAAAGCTAAAGCATGCAACACACCAGGGTAATCTGAGTTTGAAAATGCAAAGTTTAACTTTTAAAGGGAGCAGATGAACGCAGAGGAGCTCGGCGCAGGTTTCATGTGAAGCAGAAGAAATACAAATTAAATCTTTTGCAGCTGGAGTTCAGGCTTAAATACACAACTGAACAGGATGCATTTATTTTGGACAAGAGTAACTGACATTGCCATTGTCTCTGTTTTTATTTTTTGCTGACAGGGTTACTACTTTCACACAGATAATCCGTATAAGGACCTGCCTAATGCATTCGAAGAGGGACTAAAGAAATCCCGAGATGGAGACTTGCCAGACGCTGTGCTTTTACTGGAAGCAGCCGTATTGCAAGACCCTCACGATTCAGAGGTGAATTCATTTTGCACGCAAGTTATCACACACCTTGGTTCGGGCTTTTTTCTCTTTTGGGCCTTTAATGTAAATCACAGAGACATTAAAATGTGCCACATTGTTCGAAATGTAGCACATTTTCAACATAGGTGGCCAATTAAACAGCTCCGGTAAGATGCACCGGATCAGCTGGGATTTCAGAGCACACCTTAATCTAAATCCAACCCCACTCACTCCACCTCGTGTTGTGAGGAGCTGCAGAGGAAGAACACCCGGCTGACCACAGGCTGTGTGAAGCTGATTTAGCAGGCAGCCCTTGCAGGCTCAAGGCTGATTGCTTGTAACAGCCAAAAGATTTTTTTTTTCTTGAAGAGAAAAAAAATTGTTGTTTACGGTTGCAAAAAATACCGTACAGGCTCTTCCTGAGGACTTCCATTTGGCCAAAGGAGCTGAATAATGCCTCATTCTCAATAGGTTTTCTTGATAGTCTCCCCCGTTTCGAAAGGTGTGACCTCTTTGCGAGCTGAAAGAGCAAAGCCGTCATACAAAGTGCTTTCAGAATCCCCCGGAAAATAGAGAAATGTGCCAGTTATTCCGCCAAGAGGATTATCCAGCGGTGTATGGAACTAATACAATTCTGAAATTCCTTCTGGGGCGCTTAGTGGCTCATTGCCCCACTGTGAATTATTCAGAAATAATTTCACCCTTCGTTTCCGAGAGTCAAACAAAACAGCGTCGACAAAGATTTGCTTTAGAACCAGATATTAACTGTGCCCTTACACACGTACAACAGATGAGTAATCGTATAAAATCATGTCACCCCCTGGCCTGCACGCTGCTCTTTTTACAGACTCCCTCCTCACGCTTACAGCAGTGTACCCACTCAGTCACGTTTACTGATAAAAACAAATCCTCCAGTCTGCATAAAAATTTGGACAAACGCCATGATTCAGCATTTGTTGTATTATAGTACTTGCAGTCAATAACATCTGCAACTCAGAATCTTTGGATATAAAACAACACAAACATCAAAGGTGTGGTTCACACATTTAATCAACACATTTGCCGTGGTCTCTAGTAGGAATGAATGTCTTGTTAGTCGCGCACAGAGAGAAAAATAAACCGGTGCACCATTTCCAGGAACTAGCAGTGACCCACACCACAGCTGAGCTTCAGACAGCAGGTTTTGGAGTGTTATTTCCTGATATTTGGACATCTCACCCTCTGACTGGCCAACAGCATTGCAACTCTACCACTGACTTGCAGCATTTATGTTATATCTCCACAAGTAACACAAGCCTGGAGAAACTTCTGCCATGTAGTGGAGTTGCTCATGCTAACAGTTAGCTTCTACTAGTCGAGACGTTCTTTGCTGTTTCCTAAACTAAACCAACAACAGCCTTCTCCGTCGCAAGTCAAGATGGATGAGTTCATGAATGTTAAGTGACAGTGTGACATAGATCTGTCAGGATTTTCAATTCCCAGAGTTTTACCGTCTATTTTCTGTCAGAAGCTAATGCAGGAGATAGTTGTAGGAGACTAGCCTGCATGAAAAACTCAGTGACTAAAAGAGAGATAGTCTGAAAAAGCTAACTGCTATCCTTTATATTATCTACCGGAAGAGTGAACAGCTAACAGCATGTAAAGAGCGCCCCTAGGTCACCTACCTGCTCCTCAAACCTGTTAAGTGTGGTTCCTGGTCAGCAGAGGGCTGCAGAGTGTTGTCCAAGGTGAATCTGGTAACGTTCCTGCCTACACAATCACTGAAACTCACTTTTACACGAATAGCTTAAAGTGTTACAAACTGTTTAGTATTACTTCAAGAGTTTTTCTTGCTGTGTTTTACTTTATTTACACATCATTTACTAAATGAGGATCAACATGATGTATCTGTTGTACATTCATCATACACAGGCTGCATTTGACTGGTTTAATTTTCGGAGTTGAGCAGCAGTGCAACCATAACGACAGAGAAGTCAGCTAGAAACAGGCAACAAAGACAAGTATGGTGGAGATGTCCAAATGCCTGTAAGAAAAGATGAAACTCCAACATAGGAGGAGGGCTTTCAGTCTGAAAAGGCAAACTGAGACACAAAAAGGTTTGCTTTTGTTTAATTACTTTAATGCCTGAAGAAGACAACAACCATGCAGGTCAGGTTGGAATACATTATGTTATTTTCAGTTATTGCACAGTTGTAACAAATGAACAGTAATCAGTGAGCCAATTAACTGTTTATAATGAAATGTGAGGAGACAAAAAGTATTTACTAATACAGAAACTGAATTGACTGTTTGGTCACAATAAAAACAAATAATAATGATAAAATATCATGCTGCAGCCCAACTCTAGCATGTTTCCTGCATGAACACAGCTTATTTGTTTCATTTTGAATCACTCCTGTGGACACTAAGGAAGGCTTGGGGATGTTTCAGCTGTTAGATTAAAGTGTTAAAAAGACGAACGCACAGCGAGGAGATACGTTGTGTGTTCGGTTCTACAACCAGACACTAGCAGGTGCTAAAAACAAACCAAACCTGCCTAGTTCCCCTTTAAAAATCTGAGTAAACTTGATCATTAAACTTCACTGACAAGACAGAATCTTTAAACACAGTTTATACCCTTATTGACTAACAATTAATTTCTTCTCTTCAAGTAAACTGACAAAATTTTAAGAGAAAAATGAACAATAATCCAAACTAATCAACAATCCAAGAAGGTTTCCCTCATGAGTGTTTGTGACGTTGTTTCAAACACATTAGGGGTCATCTGTGGAGATGTGTGATTAACTTTACTAACTTCTACTTGTTTGTGCGGAGTGTGTAGCTCATGTGGGCTGGAGATTCTGAACCACTGTGTTTAGCATCTCATTGTTCCTCCAGCGTTGGAGACCGTGGCATTTTACTCTGCTGTTTACTGATATCTGTTTTCCTTCCCTTGCAGGCTTGGCAAGTGTTGGGCACCACACAGGCTGAAAATGAAAATGAGCAGGCAGCGATTGTATGTCTTCAAAGGTAATGAGGGAGCAACTGCATCCAGTTAGTCGTAAAAAGTTAGAAATTGCTCACAGGCACAGAAAAGCTGCTGATGTGTAACAGCGGTTCAAGGATTAAGCTCAGGAATAAAACTGTCTGGAGGTTTCTACAAGCTTTTGACATCGTTATACCCAGTGAGAATGAAACCTAAAGCATAATGACTATATAAAGGTAGATGTTGTTGGAGCACCATAGAGGAAAATCCCAGTTAGTTTGGAATCACCAGAACTCTTGATTGGAAGAGTGTTTCCTGCAGGAACTCCTCTTATCCCACAAGGGTGCTGATTGCGAGAGTCAGAGCTCTGACTGTTGTCCTCAATGGGAGGTGGCCCAGTTTCATTCATAACACTGAAGCCAGAAACTTCACCTTTCTTGGACTGTGAACACTGACAAGTCAACTGAAAATACTCGAGAGAGGCACTGATGAGAATCAACCCTTCCTTTTTTCAATTGTTTTCACAAAATTATCCATTCTCTGCAGTAAACAAACACCACTGAGAAGGATAGCAGCACCTCCCTTCTCGTTAGATGGATTAGGAAGAACGATCATCATTTATTTTTCAGTCCCTACCAGTACCTGTCCTAATCGCACCGGCTCATGCATATCAATACTGTTCTAATCTCAGGTGGTTTTCTAGGTGGAAATTTTACTTTGATTATTACAAAATCGCTCCATCTGTGGAGGGATGGAGCGATTTTAGACGTTCAACTGGCATTTGCCCTGTTGTTGCTACACTGGTTTCACTTCAGATAAACAAAACACATTTCAGTAATGTTGTAAAAATGTGTTTCAGAATCTCGTTATTTTATTATTGACATAATTCACTTTTCACCACTAAGGCATGTCGCTGCAGTTCTGTGAAATGTAACCACATCGCTTTGGGAAACTAAAGAAGCAGAAGGATGAATAATTTATTCTTCCGTGTTTTTAACCGATGCTCAGTTTTGTTCCTAGAAACAGGAGTTTCAATCTGAACGTGAGAAAAACCTGAGAATTATTGAACTTCTGTTTGGGGTTTTGTAAATTTTCCTTTGTGGATAACAGTGGAGATGATAGTCAAGATGTTACAGATGCAGTCAGAAGATCTCAGTTTGAGGACTCAGAGAGAAATTAGTCAATCCTTTTCAGAGCCATCTTAAAATGCTAAATCTTGCATTTTGAGTAAATTTAGCAAACTTTTACCTGGACTTTTCACTGGAAGCGTAAGCAGCGCTCAACGTAACTAATGTGTTTTCACCACAATCTCCACAGTGCATTGCTTTCCTTCAGGACCATTTTAGTTGTAAATCTGCAGCAAAAGGGTTCCACACAACTGGCCCAATGAGGTCACAAAATCACCAGATTTGCAAAAACCACGTGCGATTTCAGCAGTTTGATCAATTATAAGTAAGGAGAAAGATGGCAGCATGTATCCAAAGAAGGTCTGTGGTTTATTTCCTGTTATTTTTGCCTGTGCTACAGAGGTTTCACAGGTGATGATGTACTTTTTTCTGTTATTTAGGCAACTTGAAATCTGCATGTGTCTTTTATTTTGAAAGTTGCCAGATATTTTACACTTTTCCCATGTCTGACTTCCTGTCTGGCCTGATCTGAACTGATGAGTATAGTGCATAAAAAATAGACTTGTGTAATTTTTTTCGGAGATACAAAACACTACACAAGACACTCTGCTTTGCAGTCTGTGGAGACACGGCCGTTGACTATAACGGCGGCTAACTGAGTACTACATACACGCACGGTGGAAAGCCGGGATTACACAACCTTTGGCTGGCTTGAGAACGTGATGGAACATTGTTCATTGTCCTCATGTAAGACATATTTCTAAATGAAATCGTAAACTGCAGGTAAGACACTGACAACACAAAACTCCTCTTCACAAAATCTAAGCTTTCCCTTTGAGGAGTTAATCATCCTCTCGTTAAACAAGCACATCCATGTGTGTGTGTGTGTGTGTGTGTGTGTGTGTGTGTGTGTGTGTGTGTGTGTGTGTGTGTGTGTGTGTGTGTGTGTGTGGTCACGCATTTCTGAATCAACACCAACAACTCTTCACAGCGGGAGGCTGAAATAATTTAGCTGGTGTGGGATTGCGATGGTTTTAAGAAAGCAGGCGAATCAGCCGCAGCAAATCAAGTCTGTCTGATGAAAGTCAAATCTTGTTTTGGCCTCTCACCTATCTAGATAATCTACATCTTTCACCCAGCTTTATTACACTTTCTGGGTCAAAAAAGACCACAGAAGGCACCGTAGGTATGATTCATCCGATATATTCTGGGATATAACTACAGCAATCATCTCAAGCACACTCCCCATCGCTGGTGACATCACAGAGAGTGTTTCTCTAAATGCAAAGCTAATTAAAATCCTCCAGGTGTGGGCAGCATGCAAACCTGCTTCTCTGTAGCACATCATCCATCCTCGACCTCTGCCTGATGTTCCTTTGCTTCAGCCTGTCCCAATTAATGCTCGTCAAATCTACATTTCTCTTTGAAGTGCACACCTTACAGCATTTCTCCTTTCCTATGTCTGGATCGTGTCTCTGTCCAGGTGTTTGGAACTTCACCCAAACAACCTCCCTGCCCTCATGGCTCTAGCGGTGAGCCTGACCAACACTGGTATGCGTAACGACGCCTGTGAGGCTCTGCTCTGCTGGATGAAATACAACCCCAAGTACAAGAACATGCTGAAGGGCAAGACCCACCTGATAGGATCCCCGAACTCTCAACGCAGGATGTCTTATGCTTCAAACATGACACGATACGAAAGGTAAGAGTTCATACCATCTGCCGAACATGGAGCTATAAATCCGCTTTGACGCTTGTTTTACATAAAACACCGGGTTCTTACGGATCATTGAAAATGCACAAATTGAATATTTGCTTAAAAGGTGCTTGAAACTGAGGCTATAGCACAGTGGCATTTACTTTTATGAGGCAAAGAAAGTGAAATAGTCAGATTGAGCCTGAATGTGCTGTTCATGTCATCACCGATGTAAGGTGGTAGAAAATATTATAAACTCACCTTGAATGTGCTTTTGACAAAGAAATCTGAAAGTTTTCATTTTTCATGCCTGATTTTATCCCAGTTTGCTGTTTTAATAATATTGTGCAGCCCCAGCTGTTGGCATTCATCCATCACAGGATATTTGCCTATAAAAGACTTCAATATAAAAAGTACATAAATCAGATGTGAATCACTTCAAGTGAATATAAGCATGACTACACCTTGTTTAGGTTGCATCTGTGATTAAACATTTTTTATTTACTCAAGTACCATGTGACCGTGTTTGCGTACAACACCTAGCTTGTTTGCAGATTTGCCATTTAGGCCCTAGGCCTTTTTTTCTTTGGACCCTGGAGCCTCCCACCTGGGGGCCTTTGGAGTTTCATGTCCCAGGTGTCAGTGATTGTTTGCATTCCCCGAGCACAGCTACAGAGCTACAATCAAAACAGTTTAGATTGTAAACAAAGCTATTTTTGGTTTTTGATCAATTAAGATAAAATAATACTTGAACTTTATTTTAGAAGAGCTGCCTTGTGTGAAAGTGCTGACAGGATGGATGTTGTGAGTTCAAATTCCATATAGGAAATTTAGTCAATTGTTTTATTTATTCCAGGGGTCCTCAACTAAATTTGTTCAAGTTTTTTGTCCAGCAGACACCAGAGAAGGTCAGATGCTATTTTAAAATAAAGTTCAAATATCATTGTATCTTAATTTATTACAATTTAAAATGGCCTTGTTCCCCATCTGGGCTGTTTGATTGTGGTTTTAGTTGTGTTTGGAGAATGTGGACAGTTGTAGATGTTTGGGACATGAAACTGTAGAGGCCCCCAATTGGGGGGCGTTAGGGTTAAACAGGTTAAAATGAATTAACTTTTTTATGAATAAAATAGTTTTGGTAAATTTCAAAACTAAATTTTGAAGTCCTTTTCACTCTTTGGTGAAATTAAACGGAGAGGCTGCAAATCACTGGAAAATAACTAAACGCCTGCTGTAATCAATAATGAAGCCAGTTAATTGTCTGGAGTGTTAACAAGTTCATTA